TCTGAATCATCCCCAAGGCTGTATAAAATGGATTTGACTGGCATACATTGAATCTTAAGGGGGAAAAAAAAAGTCTTGGGGGTTTATGCTATGACAGGAGGAGAGCGTGGCTGTAGGTAGGGCTAGAAAGACCCAACCCCTGTTTGCTCTAGGGAATGGTTGATGAACAGATGCACTCACCTCTGTAAAAAAAGGTACACAAAAGGTGAACAAGAGCACCAGCCACACATAAACTCTCCAGATCACAGGAGTGCAAAGAGACTGTTGGAAAAGACATGGAGAGCCATTAGATTTAAATCCCTTGCCAAGACGTGCATCTATTCCTAATGATTTCAGATGTCTAACAAGTGGCAAGCATGGAGGAGGCACTTGAAGGTGACATCAGTTCTTTGCCACAGAGATCTGGGAAGTTTTGATGCCAGATTCCCCATGGCATGGATCTGCCCATCTTACTTAGGCTACTGCTGAAAGTTGCAGGTCAGGTGCCTGGGCAGAACCTGGAGCCCCAAGTACTTTTGGGCAGCCACAGCTGATGCACGTGTGTGCTTCCCCTCCCTCTGTGCTGGCCCTAGTGCCAGGCCTCCACCCGAATGCATCCTGTGCATGAAGGCTGGAGAGGAGCCGCAGGGCTTGGCCATTCTCAGCCTGGGCAGCACAGCTGGCAGCAGCTGTCTGTCTGCTCCGTGCCCTGGATGAGTGCCTGGCAGGGCTGAGGTGGCCCAGGCCTGTGTGAGCTCATGGTGCTCCAGGGGGACGTGAGGGGATGCAACAGCAATCCCTGCCCACTCACTTCTCCAGCCAACAAGCCTCCTCCAACATGCAAATCCACAATCCACCCTATTGTGCTTCTTTTTTTCTTTGAGGAAGAAAAGCTCAGCAAGCAGCAAATGCTTTTTTCTTCTCCTGGTTGCTGCTCAGTCTTTAAAGAAGAGGAGGACTGCTTCACTAACGTTCTTGTCAGCAGGTTGTAAGAGAAGTTTGAAAGGCTGTGGTGGGCTGGCCCTGGCTGGATGCCAGGTACCCACCAAAGCCTCTCTATCATTCCCCTCTGGAACTAGACAAGGGAGAGAAAATATAACAAAAGGCTCATGAGTTAAGGACAGGGAGAGGTTACTCACCGATTACAGTCATGGACAAAACAGACCTGACTTGTGGAAATTAACTGAATTTATTACCAATCAAAATCAGAGTAGGATAATAAGAAGCAAAACAAATCTTAAAACCACTTTCCCCACACCCTTCCCTCTTTCCTGGGGTCTACCTCCTCCCTCCCAATGGCACAGGGAGACGGCGAATGGGGGTTACGGTCAGCTCATCACAGATCGTTTCTGCCGCTGCTTCCTCCTCAGGGAGAGGAGTCCTTCTCCTGCTCCAGCGTGGGGTCCCTCCCATGGGAGACAGTCCTTCATGAGTTTCTCCAAAGTGAGTCCTTCCCGCAGGCTACAGTTCTTCACAACTCAACTGCAGACCTCCATGGGCTGCAGGGGGACAGCCTGTGTCACCATGGTCTTCCCCACGGGCTGCACGGCAATCTCAGCTCTGCAGGGGAATCTCAGCTCTGGCACCTGGAGCACCTCATCCCCTCCTTCTGCACTGACTCGTCTGCAGAGTTGTTCCTCTCACATACTGGTGATACATAATGATAATTTCTCCTTAACTACTGTCTTGGTTTACTGACAATATGTTTTAGGAGGTGGGACCTCTGATCAGGTCAAACCCTCTCCTTATTTATTTCCCTCCCTCTAAATCACTAATTTTTTTGAAACCACGAGGTGTCGCAGTGAAGTAGAAAAATTAATAACAGTTTTACTAAAAACTGAGAACAGAACAGAACAAAACAAAAAACGCCCCAAACAAATAGCAGAAAAAACATGACCTAAACCACCCTCTCAGTTCTGTGCTACTGAGACGGCAGCGCCGTCCCGACTGAGGTCACGCGATCGCGATGTATCCGGAGCAGAGCCGTGGCTGCAAAAGCGGGCGACGCGTGAAGTTCACAGAGGGGAGCTCTCACGAGTGCAGCTGCTCCCGGTCTGCATTGAGAGAGGGGGGACGTGTCCCTCGCGCTTTCCAAAACTCTATGATGATATGAAAAAAATTTTAAAAAAATTTCTACGTTTAGCTAACCTATAAAAACTACCCTCCTTCACCTGCCTGAGACATTCACTCATTTTTCAAGTTGTTTTTTTTTTCCCAACAGAGGGAAGCAGCTGCTCTCCCAAAGCCCCAGTTTTACATGAAGTCCTGCTCCTTTGCCTCCTCACCCAGCTAGAAAGGGCTCAGCCTCCTCTAATTCCCTTTATTCTTTTGGAAGAGTTAAAGTTATGTCATGGGATTTTTTTTCCCCAGCTCTGGCGTCCCTACAACCAATCTACCCTCTGACAGGAATTACAGCTTTTCACATCTTTGTTAAACTTGAAGCCCTGTGTGACCTTTCTCCCCACTAAGTGATACCACAAAGGATAAAACTCTGTGGTGAGTACAGCGTATGACAAACAATGGGTATGCAGCACTTACTCAAAACAGCAGAGTGGAACCAACAAACTGAATTAGGACAGATGTTTAACCACAGTTAAGCAACCAAAGCATCTCGACCTTCCCTGCTCAAGACATAAAACACAAACCCAAGCAGCTCCCACAGTGCAAGTTTAGTGCTGCAGGTGGTTTCTGCTTTCAGGTCCTGGGTTTAGGCTCTATAAGAAGAATAGAAAACAGGTCAAATTCCATAGACAAACTTTTTTTTCCTTAAGATGCTGCAGAGCCACTTTACTACCCTTCATCTGCAGTGGCTTGTTTCCTTTGTTTCATTCTACAGCTATGATTTTAATACCCAGCTTAAGCTGCTGTTGCTTTTTCATTACTAATTTGCTCAGCGGTCCTGGGACTCAAGCACATTTCTACACAAACAGCTAATTATCTTCACATCCATTTCATTAAATGGCATTATTGCTGGCTCCTACATATCTGTTTTCAGCTTATGAATAAACAGTTTTTTAAGTAATGGCAAGCAAGTCTATTCTGTGGTCACTGTTATATTCTGCCCTTTCATATGACTCTACTCCTGTACCTGTTCCAGAAATACCAGCTACAATAAGCAAAGCCCTCCTAACACCACAAAAAACCTCCCAGCATTGGAGTTTGAGGATCAAAACCAATTCAAACCCCTCTGCTTCTGTATTTTATACAGTTACTGGGGAATGAAGTTTGGTTTATCAGCACCTTTGAGAAAAGTGCACTCCCACCCACAACCCCGCACACCGACCTTCGAGCAGGCAGCAGCATCCCATGACTGCACCCAGCAAACCCACCTGATCAACTCTGGCATGCACTGGATGTTGGGAATATTTGGGAGGTGAAGGCCATGGGGAGGCCATGGATACCTCCTACTCTGACAGTGATATCACTGCATGGACCATTTTCAAAGCCTGGACTGTAAGGAGAGATGAGAGCCAAACAGCTGTCTGTAAGAGGCTTGCTGGTTTTGTCTGCTCTTCACATGCTGTCAGGGTTTAACCCCAGCCAGCAACTAAGCACCAGGCAGCTGCTCACTCTCTCCCATACCAGCTGGACTGGGGAGAAAACTGGAAGAGTTGAAGTGAAAAAACTTGTGGGTTGAGAAAAACTTGATTTAGCAGGTAAACCAAAAGCTACCCATGCGAGCAAAGTAAAACGTGGAATTATTTCATTGTTTTTTTTCAACATCAGTTTTTCAATGTTTGAAGTAGCAAAGCCAAGACCTCTGGTCATGTTTTGTAGTGCCCTTTGTTATTACATTTAAATAAAGTTCTTATTTTTAATACAGGAAAACATATTCTCTTAAAACTGAAACCGAAATCCTTTCTTGATTCCAGGAAACATAATTGAAACTTCTTTCACAGATAAACTAATTAGGAGGTTGTACAGCAATCTCTGAGCTTTAACCTTTCTGTACTCAGAGAATTGCAAGGGAGGACAGCACATGCACCTCTCACATCTCCAATTCATCCTGTAAAGGACAAGAATACTGGAATTACTTCATCTGGTGAACTTTCTTTTAGTTTGTGAAAGCTGTAGCATTTCACTGAATGCAGGGGTTTGCACCTGTACTGTGCTTGTCAGTGCAGTCAACCTTAACGTGATTATTGAGGGCTACCATTCCATGAAGTCTGGCGGATGCCAGGATTTGGTGGAACACTGCCTGAACCACAAGAGACCAGAGAGCCACTTGCTCACTCCCCTACCAGCAGGACTGGGGAGAGAACCAGAAGAGCTGAAGGGAAAAAACTTGTGGGTTGAAACAAACATGGCTCAGGAACTAAATCAAAAGCCACGCACACAAGCAAAGCAAAACAAGGACTTAAGTCACCAGTTTTTTCAGTGTCAGTTTTTTAATGTTTGAAATAAAAAAGCCAAGAGTTCTGGTTGTGTTTTGTAAAGCCCCTTGTTATTACATTTGAATAAAGTTCTTTCTATTAACACAGGAAAACATATTCTCCTAAAACTGAAACTGACAGTCCTTTCTTGATTCCTGAAAATGTAATCAAAACTGCTTTCATGGTTAAATATTAAGGTGGTTTGACAGCAATCCCTGAACTTTAAGCTTTCTATTTTGCCATAGTTTGAACTCTGGAATGGATTTTAAAACTCTTATAAATTGTAAGGATTGAGAGACGGTTCAGGTGCAGACAGAACAAACTTAGTTTGGGGAATAATATTAAATTTATTGCTAACAGATAAAACTATAGAAACTAAAACAGCAACTTAAACTAAAGCATAAATAAATACACAATATTAACACCATTTCTACAACCCCTGAGCCCTCCCACATCAGTTCAGGAGAAGCTTTCAGGGCGATAGTTCAAGTCTCTCTTTCTCTCAGTTGGAGTTTTGAGGGTCAGGCTGCACCCCCACCAGCTGCTCGGCCTCCGTCGAGCAGCTCCTCCTGGACTACGAGGGAACTCTTGTCTCACCAGGTCTTTGCCACAGGTCAAAGAATTAAAGCTTTCGAGTCTTTTTTTTTCCTGTTCCGCAGGGTTCCTCCCAGGGGGTAAGGTTCAAGGACTCCTCCAAACTGGATCCATTCTTCCTCCCCAGGTCACAGGGTTTTCTAGGTTTTGCTCAGTCTTTTATATACCCTGAAATTTCATTTGAGTCTTTACCCAGAAAAATCTGCTCGGTTTCGCTCTCTTTAGTTCAAGCTTTAGTTCAGCTTCAATGGCACGGAGGGGCCACTTCCCCCACATCCCTCGTTTCCGCTGCCCTCAACCCTATGTAGGGCGCCTCTGAGCCCTCAGCTTGTCTCTCTCCAGCTGCTGCTGCTGCTGCTGCTGCAGCTGCCGTCGCTGCCAGGGAATGTTTAGGGGGCTCCCTCCGTGTTCGGAGCCCACCCCTCCCCGGATCGTAAGGTTCTGGGGTTGTAATTCAGTTCCTTACCCCTGAATTCTTGCTGAGCTTTCTTCTTAACTACGCTGTTGCAAACTCACAGATTCTGGCTCCACACCATGCTTTGCTGCTCGCCAAGTTTCTGCTGCACTTTCTCCACCAGCAGCCCAATATCAGCTCTGCTCCGACATCTACTCTCCCCAGCTTTTTGGCCACAGCATCCAGTCCAGTTTTAACACTGCACCGGCTCTCCTGTAGTCCCGGCCTGGGGGGCGGGCTTGGCCCACAGTGGGGCCCCCTGGCCCCTCTCTGTTATTTCATGGCTGCCTAATCTCAACAACACAAAACTTCTTCTCTTCGGGTCTGTGTAATACGCTAACTTTGCAGAGCTGCATTGCGACTTCTGATTGGCTCCATATCGGAGGAGCCACTTTGGAATCAATCATTTACAGCCCCAGGGGACTGACTAGTTCAAGCTACAACATGTGTTCAGAGCATTGTCTGCAACACCTGGCAAGGGAGCACTGTGTGAGAGCAGCACATGCACCTCTCCATGTCTAATGCAGCCTGGAAAGGGCAACAATACTGCCATTACTTCAGCTGGTGAATTTTCTTGTACTTCTTGGAAGCTGTAGCATTTCACTGAATGCTGGGTTTTGGATCTGTACCATGCTTATCTGTGCAGTCAGGCTCAGGCTGATTATTATTTGGTTGCCTTTCCATCAAGCCTGGTGGCTGCACAGACAGGATTTGGTTGAACACTGCCTGAACCATGAGGTGAGTGTGTGAGGAGGAGCAGCAGAATCCATCACTTGCCATAGAGTTGGT